AGGGGGAAATGGGAGAAAAGGCAAACTAAGATCAAAACAAGAAATTTAAAAACTGCCGCCATTTTCTCAGCACTGATGCGCTTTTTGCCACTTACACAACTGCAAGCGTTGCAGCACTGGGTGCTTTTCAATGCACCTGGTGCTGCAGTGCCTGCATGTGTAAAAATGCCCAAGGAAATTAGTCTTAAGCAAGGTATAAAAGGTTTACAGGAAGCTTTTCTCCAAGTTAAGTGTTTTTTATATTACACTTGTTTAAGCAAATAACCTTTTTTTCAGTCACAAGGTTATGCCTTTAAACAAAGTATATTATAGGAGTCTTACCAGCTCCTTAGTTAAGGTTGTGTTCATATTTGCACTTAAAATTTAAAATAGAGATTAAATCTACTATAATGTAGGAACTGCATAGTATATCCTCCACAGATTCATGAAACAGAAATCTTGGCCCTATTTTGGTCACTGACACAACTCCTCTTGATTTCAGTTTGTGCGGGCCGGGAGCGACCCGAGCCCTTTTCGTGCTGCACGCAGGCTGTGGCCAGCAGCCCGGGCACGCCGGGTCGGAGAGGGAAGGCCGTCGAGCTGGAATTAGGCACAGATGCGTATCGGTAGTTTTAAAGATTGTTCCGGCTTAAACCCTCATTCATTAAGTCAGTCACAGTTCGGAAAGCTGCACTCACTTTTCCCCCCTTGTTGTCCCGTAGGGCCACTCTTTCTTTCACGGGGCGCTCCTCCGTCTCCGGGTCTTCACGGAGCTCGGACGGACGCCCGCGATCCCTCAATCTCGGCACCATCATGCCGGGGGAAAACCAATCAACCTGCGCTGGTTCTTTTATTTCTTGGGCGCATCTCGGGCAACGGGCACACTTTCGAGATAGATCTGGGCTCACCGCGCCCACCGGGTCGACTTTGACAAGGGACACGGTATCGAGGGGCTTGAACAAGACCCGCTCATCGCCCATAATACACCCGAATGCCGCGGGGTGAAGATATACCTCTCCCCTTCCAAGGGCTTTGTCCTCGGAAGCTCCCTCTTCTTTCCTCAGCGAAAAGCATCCGCTGACATACCTTTCGCCCGCTCCACCCGCCTGATGGTATACAATGTGCATCTCCAATTCAGCGACGCTTGCCACGCCGCGCTTCCCAC